CACATGCACTTACTCTTTTGCAATGTGTTATTAGCGCATGCGTAACGACCATTCTCTTTCGTCGGTGTTACCCAGACGTCCTCGACGAAGTCCTGGCGGGCGCCTCGGCCGCGCGCGCGGAGGCATCCGGCGGCCAACGGGCCGCTGCCTACGCTGCGCGCCTCGCACCAGCGACGGGCGCGATCTACTGCGGGCCCGCGGCGCCGACAGCGGGAGCGACCGGCTGCGCCCGCCCGCCGGCCATTCAGGGCCTGCGCGGGTCAGGCCAGGTCTGGGGCGCGCGCCAGATTGTCGACGCGCCCTGCGCGGCGGCCCAACCACGACGCGGCCCGCGCCTTCGCTGAACGCGGGGCCTTGGCAAGTCTTGCCTGTGAGCCGTTGCCGGCGGCCCCGCCATCGCACGGATTGCGCTTCGGATCGGCGTTGGATTTGGCGGACTATGCCCGGGGGCCGCCGCGAGCGACCGCGCGACAAAGCGGCCCGCAATGCCACTTGGCGCAGACTTTCAACGCGCCCTGCCTGAGAGCTGCCGCCGCTAGCTCCTCCGCCGCAACTTCATGCGCCATCGCGCGGCGCGGCCCCAGCCGAAGTAGCCGAGTCGGGAAAGGGGGGCTTCTCCGGAGAGCTCTGCATCTATCATTGGCATCGCCGTTGCGACGCGCACGTCGGCGGCGCATCGACGACACGCGTGAAGACCGCGAAGGCTACCCCGCAACGAGCGCAGCATCGACGACTGCATGTGGCGCTACAGTTTGCGGCCCCATACGATGCACGTCGACGTGCGCTTGCAAGCAAAACAAGGCATTCAAAGTTGAGCCTGAGCCATCAACCGCAACGCTACCACAGCGCGCGCGCGCTCTCGCCAGGCCGCAGTCGCGACCGCCTGCAAACCAGCGCCGCGCTGCCGGCGCGCTATACGTGCAAGCCCCTCTACTTCGACTTGGCCAACGCCCCAGACAAGTGGTCGCTCGCTCAGGGGACGCTCGAATGTGAGATCGCGTCAGCTCGGCGCTGGTTTACACGCGCATCCGACGACGCGCGCGTCAACAATACCCGACGCCCATTGTAAACTTAGGAGCTTCGGCCCAAGTGCGACCTTTGCGCGCGGGGCTGCGCTTCATCAGCCCTGGCTTTGCGCCCTGCCAGCGTTGGTCGACTAGGCCGAGCGCTGATGGCCGCCGGGCAGGACTTCCTTGGTGCGCCGCGTTGGTTCGCCCAACCGCAGCATGGCAGGATTGTGGCAGCGTGAAAACGCGCCCGCGCGACCCTGGCCGAACGTCGCCATTCGCCCGCGGACCCAGGCTCAATTTTTTTTGTCTAGATGCTACGATGTCTTATTGTTTTTCTTACATTTGTTGGGTCAGATTCTACATTGCGATACTCGATCGAATTCCTTGGGAGATTACGGAATGCGCCAGTCGCCGCCATTATATGAGAGTTGTCGCGAAGCACGAATATATGCATTCCCATTATATTGCCACCGTTTGCCCCGGGTCTTTCTGGCGGCACAGCGAAGGGATGTTCGCTTCCATGTCTCGGGGGCGGAAAAGAGGGGGGCGATGACTAGGGGGGGGTGGATTTCATGGCGCGGGCCATGATTTTTCCTCAGATTTCATGGCGCCTCTTCTTATTGTATTACGTCCCAGGCCCCCCCCGCTGGGCCGCGCACATGCCGCCTGTCATGATTTGCACCCCCCCTCTTGGACACCCCCCTCTTGGCCGCTCCCGAATGTCTGGGTGGGATGTTGCAATTATGTTTATCCGATCGCATTGTTTGAGATGCGCGTGGAAATGTGCACCTCGGTCGTGGCGCGTTGGAATGCAAGGCAAGACCGTCGGCGTAGCTGCCTCCAGCGGTTGTCGTCCGATATCGGTCAGGACGCAAAATATGCACCGCCACGCGCGCGCCAGACGCGCGCACTACCTCGTCAAATGGTTGGCGCAGGCTTTCAAGTTGAAAAGGTAGATACTTGAAGTGGTGAAAGACAAGGTGCTGACAGCTTTCAGCATACTGCGATCTTGAGAATAAGTGCTACCGTGCCAACGTGTTCGATCGTGGCGTGCTTCACTTGTCGCCGAGATAGCCAGATCTTCCCGTTCAAATGTGATCGCCGCGAAAGCATCCACATGACCGGTCACCCACGCAAGCGACCACACTCTGCCAGTAATTACTTCCACGAGAACGAATACTCCCAGGTATCCCGATTGGCGTCTGGGGCTGCGCGCGCGGGCGGGCACCGCGCAGGGCGCGGCCCCTTCGACCTCGCGCGCCTAGTCGGCGTCCACGACGCAAGGAAGAGTGAGAGGCCAGCTTTTCTTTGCAAGCTGCCCACTACCCACCGCGCAATGACCGCGACCACGATGTGTTCTACCAGTGCCCGCACAGGAGCCCGCGCGCCCGTCGGCCGCCGCCCTGGCTCGCGCGCGCGAGCGGCATAGCCGCTGGTCAGGTCGTGCGCAACGCGCGCCGACCAAGGAACTTCACAGTCAAGGGCATCCACGGACAAAGTACCGGGTCTCGCCAGTGCCTCTCCGAGCAGCATGGACAAGCAGGGGCTGCATGGCTGTGCAGCGCGTGCGTGGGGCGCTCCTGCGTTCCCCGCGACGCTACATGGCGGCTATATGATTGCGCAACGCGTTTGCGGCGCGCTCCCTCGCGCGCCTCGACGCCACTGCGCCGCCCGCGCCGCGCGCCTGCGCCGCGATCAGCAACAGGCGCAAAGCCCGCATAACGCGCGCCGCATCGCCGCGCCGCTACAGCATAGCCTCGCGCGCGCCGAAGCGCGGCGCGCGCGCCCCCGCGCGGCGCTGCGCCTTGCCACGTGGCGCGGCGCAGCGCGCAGGCGCGAGGCGCTGCGACGACGGGCACGCGCGCGCCTGCAACAAGCGCGCGGCCGTCGACAGCGCGCCGGCGCCCATGCCAGGCCTTCGACGCGTGCTACCACGATGGCATGCCAAGTCACGTCGCACCGGCGCATTGCCAATGAACGGCCGCGTCCGGCAACCATGCTACACAACGCGCCACTGCGCGCCAATGCGCTGCCCATGCCAATTGACCACAGCTACTGCGATGACAACGTCGACGACGCCGCCGACTACAGTTGATACAACATCGACGATGACCACGCCGTCGGCTACGTCAGGCGGTACTACAGCCATGGTTTTGGCTCTGAGTGAGCCGACTTCACACGGCTCGCACCGCCGCCTTGGAGACCACGGGTCACATGACCTACGTGGCTGTCGACGCCAGCACGGTGGTGACCACAGCGGCGTTTTGCTTCCATGTCAGACGAGTCCGCCACAGCGGCGCTCCCAAGACTCGTCGGCCACGCGGCCGTGACAAGCGGAACGCGTCATTTTCACATTCCGCGGCTCTGTAGGTTGCGGACGTTTTGCACGGCGTTCCTCACCCAAGATTCCGCAGTGCATCTGCCAGGAGACAGCACGGCGCCAACAGGGTCTCACCAGCTGGCAACGCCAGCTCCTGTCCACGCGACCGCGACCTGCCTGCTGACAAGCCCGGGCGCAGAGGCTCCGCGACAGGCCTTTGCACCCTGCGCGCGTAACCACGCGCAGCCTGGACAGCCAGGCGCGCAGAGACTCACCAAGACACGCGCGGCTGTTCGCATACACGTATTCACTTAAGCCCGCAGACTAGCACGGTGGATCGTTCGCGCGAGCGACGGGGGGCGCGACTTGCCCCCCGCATTTGCTGCATTGTGTTGCGTCGCGCGGCGCGCGCGTTGCATTCCCATTGAAACGATCCTGAAATATGATTCCGCCTCAGGTATTGAGTGGGCCTGAGCCCAGTAAGGCCGATCGCTGACCAACGCCAAAGACGAAGTTTCCTGTTGCCGCGTGTCGGGTGCATTTTCTCATGATCCAGGGCCCTCTCATTAGTGCCGCTGGGGCCCAGGCGCGCCGGCCCAGGTGCCGGCGCCACACTTCGGGTGCCGTCTGCGAGCCGCAACTCCAGCGAGTTCGGCTGCATCCACCTGTGACCTGCCAAGTCGCGCAGTTACCCAGGCAACAGTGCGGCCATGGCTCCTGCGCTCTTCAGCGCACCGCGCCGCGCTCACACGCAAGTAAGCAGCAAGTGGGAGCGCGCGCGAGAGATTTTCGCGCGCGCCTCAGCCCAGTTCGCGGCAGCCAACGCAACCGCGGTCATGCGCCACCAGGGCTGGGAAGGTGGACCACGCTACGACGTGAAGGCAATGTGGATGCGGATTGCCAAGCCGGAGCTATCCACACGCACACATGCAGCGAATAAGCGTGACATATCCGTTGCGAGTTGCAGTGGGATGCGAAGCGGCTTGTTTACACTATGTGCATAGCACGCCGTCGTCCTCGTCATCGCGCAGTCTGGCGTTGCATGCCAGTCTGCATATGATTCGTATTTCTGGCTGTAGCTCAGCCTTGCTTTGTTCGCGCGCCGATCTACAGTTCGCGAGCGTCGTCTCGACCTCTGGGCGACGCGCGAGAGTCAACAGCTACACTGCTGCGATCACAAATCGCGAGACCAAGATTGCGCGTCTCATGCGCACGGCGGGACTCATTGCGAAACCAAAACTCTACCTTGGCCCATTGCCGCCACAGCACCTTCATGAGTGCCCGGACAATCGGGCACGCAGCCTCGCGCGCACGAGCACGCGCGCGCAGCGCGCAGCTTCCGAGAGCAGGTCGCCAACGGCTCAGGCGACTTCCAGCGAGCAACAACGCAGTCGTGGCCAATCAGCCCCCCTTGCCCATGTCGTGGAGTTGGCTGACATCCAGGCGGACTCCTACTCTCATCCCGTCGTCTTCTCGCCAAGGAAGTTTCGGGGCGCCGGAGCTGCCCCGCGCGGCAGTTGGAGCCCGATTCGCGAGGCTCCCTGCACAAATCGTGGCGCGCCTTGCCGCATCACCTCGCCGCGGGCGCCCACGGGCCGACACCGTCGCACCATCGCCCTCGCCCTGGCCGTCGCGCCGCGCGCTGTCCCGCGCGCCGCCGCGCCGGGCAGGGTGCGAGGCAGCGCGGCCGTCCGCGACGCGGGGCGGTCCGACCGCGTAATGTCCACGAAGGATGTCGAGTCCAGCCCCGCCGACGCCCTCGAGGAGGTTTTCGGCGACGGCGCCGCCGCTGCCAGCCACCTCTGGCGCGTCGATGCCAGCGCGGGGCAGACGTGCCAGGAGCTGCCCGAGTGCTCGCCGGGGCGTCTCGGTCCGCAGGCAGTGCGCCGCACCATGCACGGCTGCTCTGCCTAGGAGCACGGCTGGCCCGCCGACGGCCTCGAGAACCACGACATGCAGCAGGACGCATCAGAAGTGCGCGAGGTCGACATCTTGCAGGATCAGACCCCCGCGTTCGTGGAGGAGCTCATCGTGGCGCGCCGCGCCAGCCTCGAGCTCTCGCTGGGCGGCGTCGCGGCGACCGCCTTGAGCGATGGCCTCGACGGCGTCGCTCGATGGCGCCGCGGCCTCTCCGCGACTCTTGCAGATGCCGAACGCGATCGAGTCGCTGGACCTGCTCCAGATTTCGCGCGCGCGCGCTGAACCAGCGCGCCGCGGCGGACAAGATCGACGCCCTTGTTCTGAGCCGCGCCTTGTCCTCGCGCCTCCCCGCGCCTCTTCATCGTCGAGCAAGGCGCTCGCGGCGGCAGCGCGGATGCGCAGCGACGCCAGACCGTCGCGGACGCCGTGACTAGCGCCAGAGGCAAATGGCCAGTGCTCGCAGCATTCTGAGCCGACTCGACTCGGGGCCACGATTTCGAGAGCCACATCTAAACGCACCCCCCCGCGGCGAGGGCGCGCGGCTTCGGAGAGGCGCGGGGGGGGGTCGTCGAGGGCCTCGCGCAGGATTGCGACATGAGGCCGCGCATGGAGCGCCGCCAGATGGGGAAGCAGCTCGCGAGCCGGGGCCCCGATGGGTCGAGCCGCGCGCCGCTCAAGGTCATATTCTCCCAGCTGGCGGCGGCCGACCGCCAGTTCAGAGTCCGTCGAGCGCCTGCGCGCCGTCGGCGCGCTCGATGAGTCCACCGGCGGCCTGGCCTTCTCCAGGCGCGCTCCGCATAAAAGGACGACATGGCCAGGCCTTCTCAAGTGCGTCGCCATATCGACGTGCTATTCAGCGTGGTGCCCCAGCGACTGCGAGGGCATGGTGATTGAGCTGGCGGCCAAGGCATGGCCGCCCGCCGCCTCCCAGCCACTCGGAGGCGACCATCGCCGACGCTTGCGCCCAGATGCGCGACGCCATGTTGACTTCTGAGCTGATCCTGCCGAGCGCGGGCAAAATGCACCCCGTGAAGCCCGTCATGATCAACGCCGCAAAGGACTTGATGCCGATGGCGCCCTCCCAGGTTGCTGGCCGCCAGGAGACCGCGAACGAGAAGATGTGCCTGGCGCGTCAGCGCAGCGCCAATGTACGGCAGTGCCGCAGTTACTCCTCACCGGCCGCTCCCGCGGCAGCCCCAGGAGTGGGCATTTATTAGCCGACAGCTGCCAGGTGCTATAGTTCCCTATCCGGGGCGGCGACTGGGGAGCGGCTCTGCGCAGCCCAACGTGCGCCTTCGCATTGTCGGCGCGACATCATGACAGCACCCTCGCGCGGACAGTTGCATGCGAGCGCGCCGACGCGCGCGCGGCAGTGCCCGCGTTGGGGCGCTGCCGGTGAGGTCACGCGCAGAGTCGCTAAACATGCGACATCAGTCACCAGGCTAAGCGCCATGCTCTTGGCAGCGACTCGCAGAACCATGCGGTCGTCATGGCTGGGCCTGACACAATGATTCGGGCAAGGACAGCTGACCGAACCAGTTCCCGTCGCGCGGTTGCCAGCGGCGCGAATTCCGCCGAGTCCGCGACGGATCGACCGGAAGGGCATGTGCCTCCACTTGGCACAGCACCAGCCTTGTTTTTTGAAAGCGCTATGAAGCACAAGTGCACGTGCGTCTCGACAGCCTCCGCCGCGCGCCGATTGGCTTGAGCATGCCTGAGTCCGATGCACCAGCGGCAAAGCACTAGGCGACTGAGCTGCAACGAGCACCGCGAGGATGACCCGACCACGCGCCCATCGCAGATCTCGTTCGACACGAGCACCATCGAGAAGCCGGCCCATGCCCTCAGTGGCCGGCCGGCCAGCCTCTCCGTCAATTGCAGGGGTCTTCTCGTCTCGCAGGTGACTGGCGCCACGCGGGCGACAGCGCAGACGTCTTCGTCGCGAACCCCAGGCAGGTACTAAGCCCAAGCCGCGCAACTGGCGCGGCGCGCGCGTGCCCGGCCTCGGCGCCTCAGCGCCGCCCGCGTTTCAGGAGGTCAGCGCGCGCGCGCCGCCGCTCGAGGTCTGTGCTGCATCACCAGCCGCGCTCCCTCACAGACCAACCGGCATGCATCGCGGTGGCCCGGCACATTGCCCGCGTTGCGCTGCCGACAGCGGGGCAGCTGCGAACGGTCGAGGCGGGCACTTGCGATGCTGCGCTGTTGTTGGCCGCTTCCAGACATTGCGCGCCGCGTCGGTGCCGCTTAATAGCTACCAGACCATCGCGCGGACCAGTCAGCAGCTGTGACTGGCAAGCGTTTGCAACTAGAGGTACATTGCGGCAAGCGGGTGGACGAGCTGCATCTGCGCGCGCATGGCGCAAGGCGCACGGGTGTTCTCTAGCTGCACAGCCGCTCGAATGACGCAGTGGCCAGCTACTCCCACTGGCACCCGCTAGCATAATAATGTCGAGGGCGATCGGCCATGCCAGCAGCGTGCCGAAAATATACCCGGGATCGAACGCTCCTGGCTGCGAGGCGACATCGGCCAGTCGCTGGGTTTTCCCCGGCGGTGGCGCGTCGTTACGATCCACAACCCTGGCCAGGGTCAGCTGAGCTCATCTCGCGCACGGGCTTGCCACAAGCGAGCCGGCAGGTCTCCCAGGGTTCACAGTTTTCTGTTCGGGCTGAGGCCCCTCAGCCATTGGTGTGTTGCGCGGGGAGCCCGGCGCTGAGGCTCTTCGGTGAATGCTCTAGCACCTCATTGCGGGTGGGCTTATGTAGCCGATGCAGTGCGGATGGGCACTTTCCATCCCCCGGCAATTTGCCCCGACTCGAGTAGGAGAGGTCCGCTGCCGTCTTGCTCACAGAAGACCCGCGAACCTGTATAGCGTTACAAGGGGAAGTCCGCCGTGTTGCCTTTATTTCATGTCATAACTGCCGCCATGTGTTTTCCCTTTTGCTACTGCCACCCGCAATTAGAATTCTTTTTCCCCCCTCCTCCTTCTTCACCTTTTCGTCTCCTTTCATCCTCCTCCACCACCTCCTCCTCCTGTCACTCCTCCTCTTCCTTTTCTCCCTCCTCCTGACCCCTTTTTCCTCCCCTCTCTCCCCCCGCCAGGTTCCACGTGCCGAAGGCAGGCAGCTCGTTCGCGCTGACCCTGCTGGATTTGCCGCAGTTGTGCGGCGAAAGCGCTGGGGCGCTTGGACATTTCTCGTCCACTCTTGCTTCTTATACATACTTTCCCCCTGTCGCACCCCGAGGAAATGTGTTAGGGCGGGCTGGGCGTATCGCTTAAAACCCCGTTTTCTTTTTTTTATGAGTATGAAGCTTAAAAAGTGGCAGCAGTTTCGCACATGGATTGCGGGTGATTTTTGAACATGCGCCCCAGCGCCGCGCGCACTCTTTTTAACACATGGCGAGAGTTTCGCGGATTGGGGGCGAGTCGTTTTGAAAATGTGGCTCGCATCAACGCCAACACACACTCGTCTTGAACATTTGCCACAGTTTCACGGATTGTGGGCGGTTCCTTTTCAAAATGTGGCTGTCGCCTCAGCGCCGCGCATACTCTTTTAAAACAGTTGCAAGTGCTCCACGGATTGAGGGCGGCTCGTTTTCAAAATGTTGTTTTCGGTTTAGCGCCGTGCGCGTTCGCGTTCAACATTTCAACAGTTCTACGGTTTCCCAGGATCAACGTGCCAAACATGATGTTTTGGAAGGATTGGGGTGTATGGGGGAGTACGTTATGTTGCGTCACGATGTTCGAGTCTCTGGCGAAATCGTAGCGTCAATCCTCCTCCTCCTCCTCCTCCTCCTCCTCCTCCTCCTCCTCCGCCCCCTCCGCGTTAGACAGACTTTGCTAGCGAAGTTGAAGAGGTAATTCTCCTCGTCCTCCTTCCTTTCCATCTCCTGGCGTCCGTTGGCTTGCGCCTTTTGGATTATATAACAGTGCCAAAGGGCTGAGGTCGTCGACCGGAACCGGCGCGAGGCCGATGATTTGACGGACTAGGTCTAGACATCTTTTCCAATTGGAAAAGTAATCACGCGAGTCTTGTTCGGAGGCCTTGTGCCGTTGACCTTGTGCGCCTTGTGCGGGGCTCTTGTGCTTGCCCGTGGGCTCGGACCTCTGTTGGCCAAGCGCTGGTCGGCATGAGACCATTTGTGCGCCTTGTGCACCTGTCTGCATCGGCACTCTTCGCTCCAGGCTTCGTTCTATTAGGTACAGCGGTTCAGTTCGTTCTGCATGTGAATTGGGTGGCCCCCTTTCAGCTGGTGTTGCGATCCAAATCCTGAACTCCTGAGAGGCTGACATCGATGTCATTCGTGTTATTGTGCTATGCTCGCATGCTCGACTCTGGCACTCCGAGCGTCCAAGATGACCCCGAGAGGCTCCCAATGTCGCCCCAAGAGGGCTGCAAGAGCGGCCAAAGAAGGTCTGAAAGAGGCTCAAGAGACGCAATTACGCACGTGAGTTATCCACTTCCACCGATACAATTGACGGGCCCCCGAAGATATTCGAGTAGCGTTGGACATGGGTAATTAACGCGCCCCACCTGCAGAGGGAGGGAAACCTTTTGCGAGATCACTGGGGACACGTCTCCAAATCGTTGGGCATGGATACCTAAATCCGGGGCTCGCAACTGCGCACCCACAGAAGGACAGGCAGGGCTCTCATTGGGCCCCTGCCCGCAGCCCCAGCGACAGTGTTACCCGTGGCCGTTTCCGACACTGCGGCGTCAGAGGAAGGAGCGCGCAGCCGGCGTCGTCGCGCTGGTCCGATTTCCGCCCCTCCCTCTCAGGCGGCATGATCAGAGATTTTCGGAGGTCCGCGCGGATGTCCTGGATCGGCACTGGGCCCCCTGGCGGCGCCTCCGGCACCGCCGTTGGCGGGCTGCGCGCGTCAGGGAGGGGGGGCCCAGCGCCGATGCAGGAAGTCCGCGCGGACCTCCGAGCATGCTGATGCAGTTGTTCTATTACTCTGTCTTCGCCCTTTCCCTCGTCCCTCGGGAACGAGAAAGGTAGGGAACGGTGGGGTATGATCTGGAGTAGCTGGTCGGGCGCAGAGGGGGCGGCGGGGAGAGGTGCAATGGTATGCTGCAGAGGGTGCGGCGTGCAATTATGGCGGGAGGTGGTACGCCCTATAGCACGGCCTCAAGTCCGCAAAGTATTGCATTCAAGCCCAAGCTATTGCACGTGTTGTTGTACCTCTCCCAGCCACCCCATCTACGCCCGCCTCACTGCGGCGGCTGAAAGTGGGGATTATTGGTGCTAATGGTGGTCGTCACGAGGGAGGCTCTCCCTCGGATGGCTGGCACAAATACGTACTACGCGTGGCAAGAAGCCTTGGCTTTGAGCTCACCCGATAGGATGGGCGGTGAGCACGCTTGCGGTCGAGTCCATGTGCACTGGGATCTGGACTCCACCGTGGTGCGGTGGCACCGACATGCTGTGGAACCAGTGCGCAGAGCAGGGCTTCTTCGGGCTTCTGCCTGACCTGGGCAGGAGCGTGATGGGGTTCTTCCGCCAGCCAGAGCAGAGGCTGCTGTCCGACTACAATTATCTTTGCCCCGAAGGCTCCCAGGTGCCAGGGGCAGGAATGGCACTGCTACCCCTGGCCTCCCACTCCGAAGTCGTGTTTTTGTTTGCAGGCGAGGACCCCAGGAGGCCTCGACCCCTTCCCCAGGGCCGGCTTTTCGTCCTGATTTGTTTTTATGCACGATCTTGGGCCCCGGTAAGGGCCCCCGGCTGCCGAAAATGATGCCACATTTCGCCGCCGCGGTGTTCGCCTCCACGGGAGGAGGTGGCCTCTTTGTCCTCGGTTCCCGGTTCCTGCTCTTCGCCCGCCTGCTTGCTCACGTTGGGGGACACGAGTTCGCTGGTTGTCCGTCTGGGTTTGCGTGCGCCTGCGGCCCTGGGCGCGTGCCACCAGCAGTGAGGCCTCCTGCAGCCAGCAGCCCCAGAGCCCGCAGGGAGGATACGCAGACGGAAACAGCAACATGCTGGCCAAAGCAGCGCACCAGGCAGGCTTGTTTGGAGCCTTCCGCCACCAAGTGGGCCACCATGTCCAGCTTGCACTGGTGCTCTTGGCCGTCGAACTTGGAATCGTTACCTGAGGGGCATCGCCATGTAACGCCATGTACAGCCAACGAAGGTGAAAAGATGCGATGCACATCCAACTCAGGTCGAGTCCGGAGAATCCAGGCCTGTTGCCGTAGCACTTTGTCAGTTACGCCGCCTTGCTGAGCGCGAGGGCACATCTGCTGGTAGCCACCACGTTCCCGAAGACCGTCTACATGGCTGGGTCAAACCTCGAAGCTGTGGTTCAGCTTCCTGGCTCTGGTTGTGGTGGTCTTTCGTCGTAGGCCATTTCCGTTCATCTTTGCTGTCGTTCACACCACGGGCCTAGAAGAAGCCTCCATTGTGTTTTTGTTCGTCCATCCGTACCCGCTTCGAACGTTCCGACGCTCGGTGCAGTTCGACATGGCCACGGAGAGGTGATCAGCTGGCAGAGCCCCCCTGCCAGTCGCATAGCGAGGTATCTCTCCATCCCTTTTCGCTCTTCCGTGGCCGCGGGGCTCCGTCGATCAGCAGCTGCACTCGGTGGAGGAGGGGCAGAAACACGTTTTAGACAGGTTGCTGAACTTGATCGGGCCTTGGACGCCCACTCCTTCTTTGCAGGTTTGTTCTTCTTCGTTCGTGGCGTTTTTGGGTGAGTGGCCTGTGCGACCGCTTAATCCCCAGCTCGTCCTAGTTCAAGTTCAGAACCCAGTGCCGAATGCGCGTCCGATCCACCAAGATTTCTCGGGTGCCTCTTAGGGCCGTTAGGGGGGGCCCTTTGTGGCTTGTTTGGGGGCTGTGGGAAGCCTCTTGGGGCTTCTTGGGGGCTTCGGGAAGCCTCTCGGATACGTCTTGGGCCCCTCGGCGGGCCTCTCGGGGGTATGTTGGGGGTCTTGGAGGCAATATGGGAGTGAGAAGTGCTCGAGGCCAGGTCGATGTCCCGCGCTTGGGCCCATATTGGTGACCTCTTGGGGGCCTCTTGGGCCACTTTGGAGGCCTCCTGAGCCATCTCGGGACCACCTTCGGCTGCCTTAGGATCCCCATCAGGCCGTCTTGGAGCCCTCGTGGGCTGCCTTGAGGCCCTCTCTTGGTTTTCTTGGGCTGCCCTTAAACCGTCATGGGCACCTTTCGGAACGTCTCTGGCTTACAGATATCCGAGCAAACCAGTACGTTGAATGCCTTCAACAAACCCTGGAAGGCCTCTCGAAGGCATCTTGGGCACCCTCTTGGGACGTCCTGGAGACCGTGGGCCGTCTTGAGGCCACTCTTGGCAGTCTTGAGGCCCTCTTGCACCGTCCCGAGGCCTTCCTGAGCAGGGACCGTTGCGGGGGGCCGTCTGGGAGCGTGTTCGGGCGATACTGGGCGCCTTAGGGCGAATTGGGGCTGTCCTGTGGAGCATGTCTTGACACCCCTCTGGGGGGGATTGTCTTTGGACTGGTGTCACCCCCCTCGGGAGGCACATGTTGAGCCCCCTCGGGGGGATTGTTTTCGGCTTCAGATGTTTTTCAATGTAACTGAACTACAGTCATCGAAATAACGGGGCCGAAACATATGTTTGATGCTGGTCCAGTTTCCTCGGGGAAAGGAAGAACCGAATCGGTTCGAACCGTGCTGAAACAGATACCAGTTCACGCCGGTTCGGTTCGGTCCTGTTCGGTTCGGCTGGCTCTCTTCGGTTCCAGAACCTTTCTGAGTTCGATGGCGACAGCAGGTCATACTCGGATCCAGAGTGGACGACGATTTTTTGACGATGCTTGCGGGCAAGGGCGTGGGTCGTTCCTCGGCTCGCCTCGGGCTGACCTGTCACCTTTTTGTCTAAGAAACCGTGTCGGTGGTCCGTGCGGGTTTCTTGGGTCTACGCTCGACTCCCGGGCGGCGCCTCCGTCGCCGCCGCCGGCACGCTCCGAGCGCCTTGCAGGGGGGTCCAGCGCCGATCCCAGAGATCCGCGCGGACATCCGAAAGCTTGTGCTCATGTCTGTGCACCCTCTTTCCCAAACTCTCTTCCTCCCCGCTCCGCGAGTGGTGCAAGTCCCCTCCCTCGGCAGGGAGGTGCTGAGAGAGGAGGCGGCACATGCCTATGCAGTGTGGCCTGCGAAGGTCGAGAACTGCGACAACAAGCTTGCGTTTTTCCAGGAGCACCAGGCGTGCGCCACCAAGATGCTGACCAGCACGGAGTCCGTCAACGGCCATTGCATGAACATCCCCGAGCCGACGGCTGCCCAGGTTGCACTGGCTGAGAAGTACGTTGCACAGTCATTCGCGTTCATCGGGATTACGGAGGAGTGGGATCTCTCGATGTGCCTCTTCAACGCTAAGTTCGGCACACCGTGCAACACAAGGCAGTTTTTGAACGAAGGCCACGGAAACAGCACTGGCACGACCAACACGTGGTACGACACGGATGATTTAGACGGCTTCGTGGATAAGTACGACGACGTGTTGTACGACCACGCACGTCAGATTTTCTCAAAAGAGTTGGTGGAGTTCGGAGTGACTGCGGAGTCTTGTGCGAGTGAGATTGCCACTTGCGGAGTATCCACAGCTGCCAGACGATCGCAGGGGATGACCGGGAGTCAGAATTGAGCACGCCAGGGAGTTGCATCGGAACACTTCTTGCGCAACAGCGAAACCGCGAACTCGTTTGATTTTTCCGCCATCTCCTCGGAGTGTGCTGTGTGTTGCGCGGCCGACTCGCAGCCGCATGAAGCATAGTGTGAGATGCGTTGGTCACATAGAAGATGGCCTCCCTGTCATGCCCCAACTCCCTCTGTGATCACCCTCCTCCTCCTCCTCCTCCTCCTCCTCTTTCTCGTGCCCCTGCTTCTGCACCTCCGCGGCTTTCTCCCCTCCAGCCCAGCAGGGGATCGAATGGCGATGCAAGCGTTGGTGTTGGTGGCTCCTCATGGCTGAATGTGTCATTGCAGCACAGAAGTTGCCATCTGAAACGTGCATGGATCTGTGCGCGTGTGTGTGTCTGTGTGCGTGTGGGAGAAAGTGAATGTGAATGTGTACGTGTGCATTCGTGCGTGTGTGTGTGCGCGTGTGCGTGTGTGTGTTTTTGTGTGTGTGCGTGCGTGCGTGCGTGCGTGCGTGCGTGTGTGTGTGTGTGTTTGTGTGTGTGCGTGCGTGCGTGTGTGCGTGCGTGTGTGTGTGGGTGTGTACGTGCGCGTGGCTTTTCCCCCCAGCTTCAGCTCAGCGCAGTTCAGTGCAGCCTGTGCCGGCGCTGCTCCCCCCCTCGGCGCTCCCCCCGCTGCAGCCGGCAGCTCTGAGTGGCCTGGCTTCTTCTCTTCCCGTCGTGCCGGGGCTCCTCCTCTTTCCGTGCATTGCGGCCTTAATTTGAATACAGCGTGTCCCTTGTTACCGATCCGCAGGAGCAGTCGCCCTCTGCCCAGCCGCCGACGCAAAACGTGTGCGTGCGCGTGTGCGCGTGTGCGCGCGTGCGCGTGTGTGTGTTGTTGTGTGTGTGTGGTTGTGTGTGTGGTTGTGTGTGAGCGGTTGTGTGTGAGAGGTTGTGTGAGAGTGGTTGTGTGTGTGGTTGTGTGTGGTTGTGTGTGTGTGGTTGTGTGTGTGGTTGTGTGTGGTTGTGTGTGGTTGTGTGTGGGTGGGTGTGCGTGTGCGTTTGCGTTTGCGTGTGCGTGTGCGTGTGCGTGTGCGCGTGCGCGTGTGCGTGTGTGTGCGCGTGCGTGTGCGTGTGCGTGTGCGTGTGCGTGTGCGTGTGCGTGTGCGTGCGCGTGTGCGTGTGCGTGTGCGTGTGCGTGTGGGTGTGTGTGTGTGTGTGCGTGTGCGTGTGTGTGTGTGTCGGTGTCGGTGTGTCTGTGTGTCTGTGTGGGGGGTTCTTTGCCCGCGTGGACTCAAACCAGCTGTCTCGCGCGCCCTCTATGGGCAAGGTGTTGGCCGAGTGGTGCAAATCTGGTAGTCGATGTGTTGCAAGCTATGTGTTGCAAGCTTTGCTTTAGAAGCTCACTGCGTGATGTAATGCACGTGGCGCAGGTGGTGCGGGCGGCCTGGCCGGCTGGAGGCCGGGACGCTCGGAGCGAGCACTCAATTGCCCCCTTCCCCTTCGTCCTCGCTTCCTCCCCCTCATTTCCAGGCTCTGGCACTAGCGTGCCTCGGTGGCCTCATCGGCCACGCGGCGGGGACAGCAGGTGGCCAGATACCCGTTGATGGCGGCTGCACGGTGGTCGCATGCTTTGGATGGGCTGGCCCAGGCGGTCTGGGTGCATTGCAGAATGGCGTGCGTTTTTGACTATTGTCCTGACGTATTCTGCATCCTTTTTTCTCTCCTCCCCTCCCCCGCTCTCATCTTCAAATGGGTACTGTGGCACTGCTTACACGTGGGCCAAGGGCGCCTCCTCGCCTGGCACTGCCCGTCCCTGCGGGCCGCCCTGATCCTTTTGGGTCCGCCTCAGGCTTGCACAGTGTTTTCGGCAGGACTTGGTCTCTCCATTGTCGCTTTCGCTTTGCATCAAAATTTGTAGCATTGCTATGCGCCATCCATGCTTTCGGGCCTGCCAGGCTAGTTTTTTAGCTATTGAGGGTTTTTGTTGTTGCGAGTGTCTCTGTGGATCTCTCTTGTCCTAGTTCCTTTCCTCTTTTTCCTCCCCATCTCCCTGTCTTTTCTCCTGCGTGATTGGAATTTGGGGAATATCCCATCACTCGCAGATTGCAAGAATTACCGTTCGCCTTGATATGCTGCCCCTTGTATTGGCTGCCGCTGTAGTTCAGCCGATCAGTGCGCGTGTTGACCAATTTTGACATCCACGTTTCTCTCGTCCTCGTCTCCCCTCTCTTCTCCCCCTTTCGCACCCTTCGTAAGTACACCCTAGTGGATCAAGGAATCTACTCGCATGTTGAGGTGTTGGCGGGATGGACGCGGTCATCTGCAGTCCAGCTCCACTGCTCCGTCTGTGGCCGCAGCTTGCCTGCCGATATGGTGCCCATGACATGCATGGCGAGGCGAATGGTGGTACAGCGCTCATCGTTTCTGTTTGTGCTGTTCTTTCTTTGGAGACTGTGGCGCAGGTGGTGCAACCTACATAGTATACCTCTAGTTCGTGCCTAGATATAGCTACTCTCCCCAACCAGTGCTTTCACTTAGGGGTTCTTACTTGTTTTCCTCAGGGGGCGGTCTTTGGACCCTCTTAGGCGCTCTCGTGGCCATCTTGTAGGCCTTTTGGGCCCCTCTTTGGGCTGTCTTGGGCCATCTGGGGGCCAACTTGAAGCCTTTTTTTGGCCCATCGGAAGCGACACGGCGAGAATGCACACAATAATGGATTGGTTTGGGTGTTGAAACGGTTTGGGCTTTTTTGGAGGGGCCATTTGCGGGCTCAGAGGGCACGTGGAACCGTCTTTGGGTCGCTTCGGAGCCCCTGGAATGTACGTCTGAGGCTGACTTGAGCCATCGCCCTCTATTTTGGGAAATACTGAAGGCCATCTTGGGGCATCCTGTCCCCTCTTAGAGTCATTCAGAGCCGTATTGGACCTCCTGATCGCTGGGGGAGTCTCCGTCCAGACCCACGGGGGCGGGGGTGGGGAGAGATGCCAAGAATTCTCCCAGGGTCACTCCCGCCCGCTATCCCTGCACATCGGCCGTGCCCAAGTCTCAGCATATTCAGCAGTCGCTTTTCGATGCCGTGTAACTGGGAACCGATACAGACCCCCTGTGCGCGACGCTGGGGCGATGTGCGCCACATCGGCCCTCACCATCTTTGTAGCGAAAGGAGCGCGCAATCGCGGCGGAGTGGCCATCATGATGTCTGCTGGGCAGGCGCGCAGTAGGCAGTATGCCAGCATACCCGCCGCCCACGTCAATTACGCGGCCGAACAAAACACCAAAATTCTTATAACTGATCTGGCGTGATGGTAGCTGGCGTGGAATTTGCGAAAATGGTGCAGACGAAGGGTTCAGCAATTACCTAGCCAAGCACTGCCTCTTGGCATCGTCGGCGCCCCGTTTACGCGACAACGCATTGCACCTGGTGGGTAGCGTGTCAGGCCACCAGTTTGCCAGCTGCCGGTGGTAAACATCAAATGCGCCACGTACCAAGGCGTTCTCATGCCGCACAGCATGGCCGCGCAAACCATCCAGGTTCACTTCGGCGCCCATCTCTAGCATTTTTTTGAGCTGCTCGCACGGCGGTGGCAAAGCGGACATTGCGCATTTGGGCGCCATGACGGGGACCGTATTTTTGACGGAGAGTCATCGGCGGTCGTCCGCGTTCAAAATCGAACAGTCAGGGCCCGCATGAGACGGGGTGGCTACAGTTCTTGATGATGATGATAGCCCCCCCCGCTTGCGTGTGCCCTTGCAGCCTCGAGAAAGTGCCACGCTCGCTGGGCCCTGAGAGACCGACGCCCCATGCGCACTCCTTATGGTGTCGAATGAGCAAACACGCCTGCTATGCCCTGGACGGCCGTCGCGCATGGCGGCCGTGGTGAGAAACCACCCCGTGCGCACCCTCTGGGGTGTCGAGAAAATGCAACGCCTGCTGTGCCTGGGCGACCGTCGCGCTTGGCGGCCGCGGTGAGAGACCACCCCTTGCGCTCTCTCTACGGTGTCGAGGAAACGCCACGCTTGCTGTGCCTGGACGACCGTCGCGTACAGCGGCCGCGGTGAGAGACCACCCCCTGCGCAACCCCTCATGGTGTCGAGGTGATGACACTCCTGTTGTGCTTAAACGACTGTCGCGCACAGCGGCCGCGGTGAGAGACCACCCCCTGCGCACCCCTGGGGTGCCGATAGATGCCACACCTGCATCGCCCTGCGAGCCTGCAGCGCATAGCGCCCCAACCCCCAGCGCACTCCCTTTATGGCGTCGAGGAACTGCCACGCCCTGCGAGCCTGCAGCACATAACGCCCCCATCCCCAGCGCACCCCGTGTGGCGTCGAGGAAATGCCACACCCGCCACGCCCTTCGAGCCTGCAACGCATGGCGCCGCCACCCAGCGCACCCCGTGAGACGTCGAGGAAATGCCACGCCTGCCACGCCCTGCGATCCTGCAGCGCATAGCGACCCCACCCACAGCGCACCCCGTTTCTGTGCGTGTGGAAAAAATGCAACGCTTACCGCGCTTTCAGACCCTAGCACGCATAGAGGCCGCACTGAGAGACCACCCCTTGCGCACCCCCTTTTGTGTCGATGAAGTGCGGCGCGTGCTACGCTTAGCGGGCCCGAAACGGACAGGGAAACCACCCCCATTGCACCTCCTCTGTGGTGTTCATGTGTTGTGTGGTGTGCGTGTTATGCGTATGGTGCGTGTGCGGTTGTACGTGGACGTGTGTCTCACGTGGGTGGCCAGTATGTGTCATGTGTCTGATGCGTGTGCGGTTGTATATGGACGTGTGTCGCATGTGGGTGTTCAGTATGTGGCGGGTACGTCGTGGGTGTATGATGTAGTGAACACGCCATGCGTGCATTGGCGTTGTTGGTGTGTATGTGTGTGTGTGTGCGTGTGCGTGTGCGTGTGCGTGTGCGTGTGTCTGTGTGTGCGTGTGCGTGTGTGTGTGTGAGAGAGAGAGTGTGTGTGTGTGTGTGTGTGTGTCTGTGTGTGTTTGTGTGCATGCGTGCGGCTGTACCTAGACGTGTGTGTCGTGCGCGTGCCGTGCATGTGTTGCGCGCGGGTGAGGAGAGGAACAGGATGATGGTAAGAGGGAGGTGGGAGGAGACGCGGGTACGACGCGGGTGAGACGAAAACCCAAACGCCACGAAACACGTCAGAAGCCGATGCCTGCCTAGCAGCATCCAGTTTTTTGTTGCGA